AGGACTGCTTTGATAAAGAAGTTGAACCACTCAATAAGAAGCTAGAACTTCCCACACTGGCTGAGTACATGTATTACCCCCAACAACTATGATCAAATTCACACTCATCCTCCCTCCAAAACACAAATATCCCTCTTTTTGAGTATTATGAGTTGAAAACTGAGAAAGCTCACTTGTGCTTGTGGGAGAAGCTACTTTTAAAAAAAGAAAAACACGATAAAGCGGAATAAATTTAAACAGCAAAACATTAATTTAAAAAAATGCACCACAGACACTGCATCACTAAGAAAGCCAGTAACTTTACTGAATTGTCTGCAAAATACAAATTATACCTTATTTCCAGCAGGAGAAACTTTGGAAAATTCCCCACTTTTATTCACTACAGACAGCTGAATTAAGTCCCTTGAGATACAGAGATGTGATTTAACTTAGTTATAACATCTTGTCATCTAGTGGCGACAAAGTCCAGCTTATGCCGCTGTGAGCCTCTATTTGAATATTTGTTGCAAATGCTTGTATGCCCTCATTTACAAGCTACTTTAGTTACTGTCATTTAATGGAAACAAGTCCCCCCAAAAAAGAAAAAGAAGAAAAATGATACAGCAAACCATCTGAAGCAATCCAAGTCCTATGCCTACAGTGACCCAGTTATACTTTGCTCCAGGAGAGAACACTGGTACTGCTTTCAAACCACAACAGAATCTGTCACTTAGCTGACCTCTCTGAATTAAACTGAGGTATGAATCAATTTGAGGTATGAATAGGGAAGGCAAACGCAATATCCGATTAGGAAAAGAACCAAAATGGACAAATTGAATGTAGAAGATATGTGGCTTGGATTGCTCCACATCTTTGGTTAAAACATATTTAAGAAAAGCCTTTAATTACATCTGTAGTCTGAAGCATTCTAACAGGCATCAGTATTCCATCAATCTTCAAAAGATCTGGAGTGGCAGGAAATTCACGCCATATAAGTGACGACATCACAGCAGATGGCACAAACGGGAACAGATGAAGTATGCTATGCTTAAGCAACAGCCTTTATTGAGGGTTCAAGTGGCTGTTTCTTAAAAAAAAAAAAAAAAAATTTTTTTTTTTTAAAGAAAGAAATACAAGCATTAACTTTCTGGGGAAAAAAACAAACAAATGGATAAAGGGGACAAAAAATGCTATTTCTAAGTTAAAAGATGGGCGTGTAAGTAAAAGAATACATAAACTTGTGAGAGGGCAGATATCCTTTTAAAAAGTGTATTTTTTTTAAATTCTCACTTTAGTTAACCTGAAAGTGGTCTGAGGATGATAGGCATTTTCATATTCATCATTACAAAATGCTAAATTCCACCTTTGGGAAAAAATAAGCCATTTTACTAAAAAACACAATTTTAAAAAACGTTGAAATGAACAGCCTTCCACACACCAATGCGTACAATATACAGGTTGTGCAGCTTGCATATATTGCATCAGTGTTACCAGTATTTAAGCTTAACATTACCAAAAAATCTTCTAAAATAGGATTAGATCTAACAATACTTGTAGCTGTGTAAAATGCCACTTACGGTTCTTTGACTTGCAGTGAAGAATGTTGCCTAAAATGTTACTCTAGGATGGGTGATGTAAAATACTACTCCCTCAGGGCTCTGCCCTAGACTCTTGAATACACGGATTTACTGTGATAAAAACACCAAACCATACTAGCGTTGCAAATACAATAAATGATAAATTACAGATAAGGTATGAAGGTAAAGATAGACAGTGATTGTTTACAGAAAGTGATTCATCACAATCAGAATTGTGCTTCTTCTCATTAAATCATCTTTAAAAAATTCTCAGATTATCCCTTCACTATCTTGTCACCACTTTATATGAATTCAGTAGTGAGAACAAGAGATGAGTGGCATCCATTTTCAAGTGATTCTGTTCTTTTCATGTTCTTATAAAACTATTGTCTGAATTGCTATAAATAGCCAAAGCTTCTGCTGGAATTTCAGCTTACTTTAATTTCAGCATTAGAAATTCACCTTTTCTTTGTTGCTGAGGCAAATTGCAGGTAAAAAATTAATATGGCTATTTCTTCATATTTTAACATAATGACCCTTTCCCACCCACTGGTAAGTGTCTATGGATATTGATAAAGAGTTTTGAAATGACAAAGAACATTTGTGACATGTTTGCATATTTTATACACATCAAGTTATAAGGATGTGTTGTAAGGATGGGATCAGGTTGATGGTGAGAAAAATGATTTTCTTAGTTTTCTTCCCCCTGTGTGTGTGTGTGTGTGTGTGTGTGTGTGTGTGTATGCGTATTTTTAGGGATGATTTTCTATTTTTCCTCTGCATAAATGTTTTTCTTTCATGTTCCATGGATACCTTAAGTAGTGGGAGATATGAAATGGGTTACTAGATTTTTTTTTTTTTAGTATATAAAATGTTAGTACAAGGCAGGTTAGCATCCTATATGGATACCACCAAAGGTGCATTGTGGTCTAATTGTAGATTTTAGATCAAAGTTAAGAAAAATATAGCCTAGTTAGTAAGGTTTCCTGGCTTTTGCCACCCAGCGGCAGCCTTTTACAATGAGAAAACATAGCAACTGTGCAAGTAAAAGAAGAAATGGTAAGAAATGTCCTACACCTGATATAGGAGTGTCGATCCTACTGTCTGTATCTTCTTTGCCGTGTATGTCAATGCATATGATTGGAGGTGAATCGACAGATCTTCATATTCCAAGAGAAGGAATATCAATCCTAGATTGAAATCTCTCTTAAACAATATATATCAACTTTTTTTTATGGCACTCACTTTTTAAAGGGTCTGAAAGTTAATCCCTTATAGACAAATACTAGACAAGAGTCATCAATATTTCTTGAAAAATTAAAAAAGGGACATAGAGAGGTTCTTTAATGGGATTTTTTGAAATGGCTATTAAATCTCTTTATTGAAGAAAAAAAATAGATGACATACATGCTTTATGCAGAAGTGACATTTGGGGGTCCTAACACACTGGGGTTGTTCAACAGTCCTATATTGCTGACAAGATTGTTGAGGGTCAGTTAAAATAATTGAAAACGGATGACGAAGCAACTATCCCTTTACCTGCTTCCTTCTTGTCTAGCACCCAGTCTTTCACATTTTTCTTCTGTGGGAATTTATAACTTATGCATCGAGTAAACTCCATATCACTAGTTTCTAGGGCCATATTTGCAGGACATGTGCCCCAATACACCTTCCCTATTCTGGGCGTATTTCTAAAAAGCATATCAAATTCTAGGCTGAAAACCAACCAGATAATTTAGGATATGGGCAAGGTAGGGTATGCACTTACTGAATTCCAAGATGCATGGTGAAATGGTGAGATCAGAAAGGGGCCCTGCATTTGATAAAAATTCAAAAACAAAAATAGCATAAAATAAACTAATTAGTATATACAATGGATGTCAGTTGACCCAATAGATCGCTCATGTATTTAAACAATTTAGGGTGTTGCAGTGTGATATGTTCTAATCCCACAGGTTATCCTTTTGACAGCTGACCTTGAACTTATAAAATGTATGCAGAGTAAAAGAAAACAGAAAGAAAATAGTTACTCAAATGTGCAACTGCACAAATATACCCCCCTCCCACTATTAACAAAACTTCTGCTATTACCATAATATTATATATATTAGAAAGCTATACACAAGCATGTTAATTTCACAGATTTTTTTAAAAGATTCTTAATATTTTATATAATTAGAAATACACATTTCAAAAACAAAACTTCTACAAAGAGAAAACAGTTATCTTGGTTAGCAAAGCATGGAGTTCTTCATGGCTTAGGGTAGTGCTTTCTATACAAAAAGTCCTTTTTGGTTTTTTACAGGACTGTTTAAAATATTAGCGAAGCTATCAAGGGGGGAAAACACATTTTGGCTTAAGTAAACTACAAAAAGCCACAAATGCTTTGCAAACTCTGTCTTACCTTTTATATGAAAATAAGCAAAATGTAATGTACATATTTTTATATTTTTATTTAATAAGAGATGCAGACCCAGATTTATTTATTTATTTATTTAATTAAATACGTTAGCCCTCAAACTCCACATTTTTTAAATAGGTATGGTCCTCTTTTAATGGTCATTGATCCTTTTTATTGAGTGCCATACGCCAATGATATGCCTGCAGGTTTTGAGTGGTCTTGGGATGTTAGGTGACCTGGTGTGTTCCTAACATTTACCAATGGCCACCCTTTGCCGGGTCTGTCCAAAACATCTATACATTTTTCTATATGTTGCATAACAGCTGCTCTCTCTTTCAGTAAAGATCTGCCGCTTTTGGCAAATGTTTCCTTTTGTCTATTTACATGTAAATAACGTTGAACCTGCAACATGACACTATCTATTGTAACATACATTTTGCAAAGGAGCACAACAGTGAAAAGAAGTTAGCCTTAAAATCTATTTTGTACAAGTGTTCTGTTGTACAACTCGAGTGCTAAGCTTATCTCAGCATTTCTGTTTATCTTTACTGTATCACTGAGGCAATTTAAAAGTACTTTTACAAAACAGAGTACCTGACTTTTTTTTTTTTCCACACACAGCACATATAATGCATATCGACCCCCCTTCCCCATTAAGGTATAGCACACACACACACTGCAAGAAAAAAAAAACTATTAAGTAATAATCTGATCATGTTGCCCATCCTTCAGAGAGTCGCATGCGCTTGACTGAGGGACTTTCCCTTTCGTCCGGCGAAGGTCTGGTGAGTCCAATGGGGGAGTGGAATTCGTTCCGGTGATCCTCTCGGTCGCTCCCGTCGTAGGAACTGCTACAGCTGCTCAAGCTGTCAACAGGAGATCTCCCCGCCTCGTGGCGCGTGTGTTGTGGGTATCTCGAAGGGGTGGTGGTACGGTCTCTAGGAGGAGAAACAGGTTCTGACTTGATGTTGAGGCTTTGAGTAGAAGGCAGGGAGAGATTTGAACTCTGAGATAAATGAGTGCTAGTGCAAGCTCTGTAGGAGGAAAGGAAACCCAGTTACAGATGGAGGAGGCCTGGAGCCCCCAGGAACTCACAATTACATAAAACATCAGCTTAAAGACTCTCATAGACACCAGAGCATGCCCAGAGGGAGAAGAACGTGCTTAGAAGCACGTAAGGGCATTGCCTTCTTAGAGCGATTTAGGATGCCTCTGTTGATTTGCCCGGTAGTAATTACAGTATTTAACTGGTCCAGGCTCATGAATCACACCTCTAGTCTCTGACAGGCTCCCTAAATGTATAGGTTACCGGTTCGGAAAGGTTTAACAAGACACGCTGGAAAAAGCATTTTCTGTTTCTATGGGATTTCTCCCTAGACTAGTTCCAAAATATAATCTAAGATTTAAGATCTAGTGTTTAGCTTTTGAATTAGACTTCCTTGATTTACTAATGCCAGTGTTTGAAAATTATTGTAAAAAGCTTATTATGGATATAAATGTTTCCCTCAATTTAATAAGCACATACACATTAAGTTGCATCGTCTTCAGAGAAAGGGGAAAAAGTTCAAATTTTGAATTAACAGAATCCATAAGAGGCTATCTCTAACCATATCTGGTGAAAAGCTTGGGAGAGGGGAAAGGAGAGGAAGGAGGAAGGAGGTTGAAATTGTCTGCAGAAATTTTAAATATTGGTTAAAACCACTTAGGCTTCCTACCCCACTAAAACTAATATAATTTTACTTTCTTTAGTCATCCATTCTCTGCTAAATGGGATAAAAATGCTGTTTATTTTCTGCAATTATCTTAACTTTACCTCTTATTGCTAGTCTTGCCCTTCTGGGGGGCTCAGGGGACCACGCCTCTTATCTATCATTGGCATTGGTCGGTGAATCTGAATTTGCCTAAGAAAAGGTTTCGTAAAGAAGGATCTAGTGTGATTTTACAGTGTTTATAACCTTTAGTCCTCATTTGTTCCAGGAAAGTATAACTTGCCCTTTTCCAAAAATGTGGGAGAATTTAGATACTTGAAATTCTGGCGGGAAAAGCATTAAGCCCTTAAGTATAGATCAGCAATGGGTCAGGATAAACCATAGTAACATTTCCGATGTCAGTTTTAAGATGATTGCATTGTTCTTACATTCTGATTGCACTGACATCTATGGCTAGAGTCAGCATTACTTGCCCATATTGTCGAGAGAATACGGAAATCTCTTTTTGACTGAGGAAGAGTCACAGCAAGGGATAATCCATAATAGACACACCCATTTTAAACAAAGGAACGCAAACCTATCTACCCATGTATGTGATTTTGTTATTTTCCAATGGAGAGAATTAGATGGCATTAAAAACGTTATTATGAGTGGTGAGAAAATGGGTATGTATTTCAGATGAAGAAGTGGAGTAACTTGGGGCTGGCTTTTTGGAAGATGCAATTCAGGCTCAAGATGTATAGAGATATAAAATTAGTCAGAAATGAGTTTATCTTTGAGTGATGTTTTATACAAAAGCACCACCTACTGGCAAAGAATTACTTTCCTTCTCTTATTAATAGATGAGCTAATGTCAAGAATAACAAAGGAGAATTATTTGTTTCCCTATTAAGTTTTTCTTTCTCTGGCTTTTATTATCTTATAGAATCAAAGCGGTTTTAGCATTTACATCAAGATACTACAGCGAGTGGATATAATTTTCAATCACCTGTTTATACTTGTATTTCTTTATATTTTTTGTTTTACAGTCTATATTAGTATACTAATTTTCTAAGAGTTTTAATTAAGTAATTTTTAAATCAAGAAGATATTAAAATGTGTGTGGGGGGATACCTATATTTCAAAAGGATCCATAATGGTGGAATATTTTATCTTGGTTCAATGTTACTTAATGATCCATTTTGATGTCAGAAAAAAATCATCTTTTGATTTTTGGAAGAAAGAATTTTTCTGACTCTGGGTAAGAAAGACCATTTCACTAAAATTTAATGAAATGTCTACCATGAATCACACAACTGTTTAATAATGAATGCCAATTAGGAGTCTGAAAATAAAGTGGCATATCAATACATATTTTTGTCTGCCCTTTGACATCTAGATTGTGTCTTCACAGGCGGGGGACATGGAAAATGAAAAAAAAATTTTGGTGAGTTGGATCAGTAAAAGCAGTTCATCTGGATAAATTAAGCAAAAAGTAATATAATCAAAATGCTATTTCTTTAACAAAGCTTTTGGAAGCTGTATCTCCCAATGTCAACTGGCTTGTACAGGTTTTGCTGCATCTCCTCCCCATAAAAGACATGACAATTACTGTTTATCCCTTCCTAGGAACAAATAGGCCAGTCCTATTTGGTGGCATTTCATTTGACACTGAAAGCATATATGAAGCATTTTGAGTAGTTCTGGGGACACTAAATCCACTGTAATGAAATGCAAGTGGTATCTGAGATTCGGCTTCATTATACTGTGGCAGAGGAGTCAAAACAGGATGACATTTAATTGACTAGTTTCTGTTATCAAGGAAGTATTTTTCTTGAAAAGAAAAAAAACATTAAAAATCACTTAGCTGTATACATGCTAGGTTTAGATATAACCATGTTGGTTTACTTATTCTTGAGAACAAAATTTTTATAGGCACAGACAATTATGAAATGCTTCATATGTGTGGGTGATAAACAGGTGGGTGGCGGGGGGCGGGAGGTGAGGATAGAAGCTAGACATACAAGTTTCCTGTATCTAGTCCTGCTGCAAGTTCTCATCTACTACAGATGCCTTCCAACTGTGACAACACCTACCCTTTCCCATGACGGTTCAGTAATGAAACATGACTGGGTAGTTTTATTCAAACTGCTTACTGCCACTGCCTGGAAATTAGACTATCAAACTATATTTAAACCTAAACTTTTAAAAGTCATCTTTACTCAGAGTGACCTCTCTCAGTGTATACATCAACAAAGATGATACACAGAAGTATTTCCAGAAAACAGGTTGCCCTTTTTTAGGTGGTAGGAGAAAAACACCCAGAAACGTGAAGGTCATTTTTCTCAATTCTTAGTATTCAAACGACTTTCACTAACCCTTGATGGCAGCTTCCTTCTTCCAGTCACCTCTGCTCCCTACATCAAATCAGTTTATGCCATGTGCCTAACTTGCTTAGATAAAAATAAAACACTAGATAGTATTAAAAGTATAGCTTTGAAGAGTTAAATGTATTTTCATGAACTAAATACGAAGGTCTCTTTTGTACTTTTCAATTTTGAGAAAGAATGGGGGTGACCCTCTCGGGCTGCCGGGAAGACCCACTTTGGTAGAGCTGAAATGTATTTTACTCTGCTTTGAACACTGTGATCGATCCAAAAGAATGTGAACCCACCATACAAGTGTATGAGGCTACTTTAGCCAGGAAAAATATCAGTTTTTTAAAATTAATTTACACGGTAAGACATTAAGGCAGCTCATATAATTTATTTTACATAACTATTACAACTTGGGATTTGAGAAAAACAGTTTAATATTTAGTTGTGTGAGCATGTGCTAGTTCATTTGAAGGAATCTCCTATTGAGAAGCTACTCAGAGAGAGAGAGAGAGAGAGAGAGAGAGAGAGAGAGAGCGCAAAGGAAGGAAGGAAGTGAGGGAAGGAGGAAGGTAAGTAAGTAGGTGGGCCAAAATTAGGACTGGAAGTGGTATCCTATCTGAGGGATAAGGGAAGTGATTAAGTGCAATAAAAACTCATCGACCAAATTCAGAGTGAAATTATGCACCATGAGAATGATGTTGTAAACAAATCAAACTAAACAAAATGCTTCATCCTTGGCTGTTGTAATTCAGTTTCTCTCTAGTCCAGTGCTATCTTTTCTCATTTACTGAAGCATCTATTAAAAGCAACAGAGAATTAGATTCTTTATGTAATAGGAGAGAATTTTAAAATTGTAGTATTGTTAAATGTGTTTTATATGTAAAATGCAAATTGTCAGATGTTATTAAAAACAAAAGAAAGCCACATTCAGGGAAAATAATATAATTTCTGACACTGATAATTTCTAAGGAAATCTAGTCCTCTAAAGGATGTATTTTGTGAAAAATGAAAAGTAAGCAGCTATGTTTATTTTTTGCCAAAAAGCATGTACAGTGGATCCACTGGTGAGCCGCAGAAGTGTATGTATTTTAAGATTGCCTGGATGGTATGATGTACTTAGTGATAACTACCTGAAAAAGTTATTGAAATAAATGTCTACTTGGAAGGTTAACATTTCTGAGGAAATTTAAATGTCCTAAAAAAACTCTATTGCGTATCAATATTTAATATATCTTTAAAGTTAACAATCATTCAAGACAGGAGAGTAATAATGTCATGTGAATTTATTTTATGATTTATATGAAAGGTTAGATTTTCAACAATAGTGATTAGTGAGTAAGGATGTACATAAGCCAATGGTGAATGGATTGAAGACTCCATTACCACAGCACTAATATATGTGAAATCAATTCTACTGAAAGCTGGTGGGGCAGGGGGAGAGCAAGAGAGATGAAGTTGTAGTATCAATCAGTGATTTTTATTCTACTTAGTGTCTTATGCTTACCATCTCCTTAGAAATAGAAACGTACAGCTAGTTAACTATTCTAACCAAATGGCTTGGTAGAAAAGTAAAAGTGAGCTAGGCATACAGAATGTTTCCAAAATATAAAAACTTGTTATCTTTAAATATTTTATATCCTCCTAGTATTTTCTTCTGAAGATTAAGTGCAGTTTTGGAGTTATTAGTGAAACTTAATGTCCGGTCTTTGATTCATGTCTTAAACGCTAAAATAAAATTATTTGTTTTACAGGTGGTGTGAAATGTGAATTCAAGGCTTTTTAAAGGTTTGAACACTTCCAGAGTTTAATGACAGGAGTCATTTCTATGATACAGACATACCTCAAAACTACCACAAGGGGGCAGAAATACACATCTTCTGACCAGAAAACAACAAAAATTATTTTTATACCCAAATTTAGGTAATTAGTATATGTATGTACATATACACGTATATTTATATTCATCCAATATCTATAAACATGTAACTATACTATGAGTATTATTATAAATATATAAAATCAATGGAATAGTTGATCCTATGGTTATGATGTAAACATTAGCCTGAGCTATGTGGTTTATGCTAAGTGAGGATTCTTACATATCTCAAAAAGCTTAAAGAACTTATAACTATATAACTGTCTTCTTATGTCCCACATGAACTATGTGAAAACGTAACTACATCTTTATTTTTGATAGAAGTGGAAATAAACATAGCCGAAAACAATAGGGAAATAATTCACGTCGTTGTCACAGAGCTTCCCCTCCTCTTAAAGAATAAGGAAAGTAATATTTAAGCTACTTGAAAGATATTGATCTGATAATTACTTTCAGATTTTGATGAAGTAGAATGTTACGTCCTCTAATGGGACAGATCACATTTTTTAGAGACTGCCATTTGTCGTTTAAAAATGCATCCTAACAGTGTATTATGAAAGAAAGCATATTGCTTACCCCAGTTGGCTGAGGGCGGATGGCGGCATGTTATGTAGGTGTTGCTGTTGCCAGCCAGTTACTGACCCCAGGTGAAGAGCGCTGGCGGTGTTAAACCCAGACAGAGATGACAGGTCTGCACTACTCAGAGAGTACTCTAGATAAAAAAATCAGACAGTAAGGGAAAATATTTAATTTGGAAACTGCCACATGATAACTAGAAGAAACATTTTTGATTTTTAAAATATTCTATTGGCATTATTTAATGATCGTTATACATTGTTTTAATACTTTTGGGGTGGGAAGAAGGAGAAAAAAACACCAGGGACAACTTTAATTTAAAAGAGATACACTACGTATCAAAAAATAAGTATTCCATGGAAGCTTCAAAGTAGTACAGCTTGCAATCCTTTATTAGAACTACAATACGGTATTACAGTATATACATAAATGATGACCTAGAAATGTTTTTGAAGCAATCTCGAGGAAGCGAACTTTCTATTACATCAAAGAAATAACAGCTCATTTTCCTTGAAATTGTTCTTCTATATTGATCTCAGGATGGGTTAGTAAAATTTTCGGTCACTTAAAAAAAAATGTGGATACTCACTTTGTCTTAGTAATGAACAGGTAATGGTATAGTGCTCTGGACACCACAGGTACTAAATACAACCTCATAGCCTACTAAAAAGGTACTATCTTTTTCATCTTGCTTTTTAATAAAAAGTATTTCATGTACTATTTGAACATGGCAGAGCTACTCACCGGTACCATATGTTGTTGAAATGGCTGATGGATATCCACCCATCCCTTGTCCTGGTAAAGTAGGAGTTGCTACGGAAACCACTGGGGTAGCCAATGACTGAGCAGACTGGGAGTTATTTATCCTTTGATTCTTTTAAAGTAAATAAAAAAGACAATATTGGTGGAATTTTTTTAAAGTTAAAAATATTATATTTCAGTATTATTTTTGCACATAAAAATATAACCTGGTACAAATCTCATGAAATTAATCATTTAACATGTGTCTCTATGAACTCTGCCAACCCTATCATTTACAATCCTTCAAGAGACCAGTTGTTGCCATAGTAACCCATTACATCAGTATCTCCTAGGCAACTGAACTAGTAACAAGTACCATAGCTTTATTATGGGTAAAAACAGACTATGTTGAAAACTGATGAAATATGTATACTGTACTTCCATTGTTTCAATTTTTATTCAAATGCAAATTAAAAAAAAATTAAAATCGACTACCGTGGTTTTATCCTCAGTTCTACATACAGCGGAGCAGATGGGTAGTGTCATGCTATATTCTGACCAGAAGGTGGTGCTCTGACCACTTTTTTCAGATTCTTCTAAACTTACCTCAAACTACAATAGATGGCAAGGCAGCTAACATTTATATTTAACCCCTTACAGCAAGGAGATTAAAGATGCACATAAATTTAAAGATCATGAGGCTCAAATTTCTTAGAAAACAAAGTATCTCATGGTTTTAAGTAACTAAGGATTTTTTTTTGTGTTAGAATTTTACTATGAATTAATTAAGACCTAAAATAAATGGAAAACATGCCCTTCACTTACAGAACACAGAAAAATAAATAACTTGACATGCTTTTCACCTGTGAGTGATACCTGAAATTAATGGTATTTAAATATAATCAATGTTGACACAATGATAATTTCCAAAATCTTCCCATTTTACTAGCGCTACCGCTCCACCTAAAAGTCGCTTTAGGTTTCTCTCCTTGCCCATGCCACTTTAGGGGAGCACACTTGCCACTTACCAAAAGCAGGTCGACATCCTCAGACTGAGAGCATGGGGAAGGAGTTTCATAAATTAGTGTCTAAATATTTGTAATGGATCAAAATCTTTTCAACACAAGGAAAAGCATCTTCTAATAGACACAACAGTTTAAATAGTTTTTAAAAACCAGACTCTAAAGATAATTCCTTCCAAAGACATTCTTTGTTTCCCTTAATGAGCTGTTTGTCTCAAATGTGAAGTCAATCTATCCAGTTTTCAGCACAGGTCACTCACTGTCTCAACCTTCATTATTTCACCATCACATTTTTTTTGGGGGGGGAGGGAAGATTGGTTTTTGAAATCCTACTTGCTGGAGGAGGGGAAATTGCACCTGGTGGCCAGGGAGAGACCTGGCCGACCACTCACAGAACCCCTGCGAAAGCATCAGCGTTAAGGGGCTTGGACTCTATCTGCTGATAGAGAGCTTGCCATGCATGGCCCACACTGCTCGGCTATGGCCCTGTGGGAGGTTTTATTTATTAGATCCAGTCTTTTCCTAAGGGAATGTTGCATATTATGTGATTTTTTTTGGTTGATATTCAAAATTAATCTGCAGTGTGCCATAATAAACTAATCAGCTTGCAGGACTGTTTTACCCTGAAGCTTGCCACAGAGCACAGAAAGGGGGAAAAAATGTATTTGCAGAATGATCTAAATTTGTCTACTGAATCTTGGTTTTAAAGGTCCTCGCTCTTAAGCAAAGCTAATTTGGAGAACACTGATGTAAGTCTCTTTGTTGTTGAATTTAGTTTCACAATATGATCTTCATCTTAGCCCTGCAAACCCAGGAGAAAGAGAAATGATCGAGTCTGGGATATTATTTATATGTATATTTCACATTAATTTACTTATTCTTACAAGGGCCACAACTTTTTTTTTAAAATGTAAAATATAACCTTTGCTTTCAAAAGGCCTAGGATTTGAAAACAATTTGCTTTTGAGAGGTCGCTATTTGTATGACGCACATACATAGAAAGATGAATCGAGGCAGTGTACAGGTATGTGATGCATTAAACACTATTACTGTAATATACCTAAGAAAAGAATCGCCAATTAACAAATTCATTTAGAAATTACGAAAAAAGACTTTTCATTGTCAGCACCTTGAGGACATAGATAGTTCAATATTGTAAAAATCTGTTATGAAAAACCTCATTCTGTGAATCTGATTCTATTATTGGTTGAACCACGTGTCCCATAAGCAGAGTAATAGGTAATACATATATTTTTTTCTAACTATAAATTGGAGGCCTTAAAAGGAAATGTTTTCTTTGCCTCAGAACACCAGTACTACAGTGGAGTTTATTGAAAGTTGGTTCTTTTTTACATGGAAAAGGGAAATGTGAACCAATTACCAGAAATAATAGCTAAATACAAACAGGGCTCCAGCAGTTGCACTGATGTGTTAATTTTCTGGGAGCACGTAAGCAATTCATGAAGTTAGACAAATACAAAAACAGCAAAACATACACAAAACATGATCAACATTTATTTAAAAGGTAGTTTTGCATTACCACTGATGGCATCGTATTCTTGCTGCCTGGTGGAATAAGAACCCGGAGATCTGGTTTACGGTTATTCATTCCTAAGTTCATGGGGGGAGGAGATTTTGCTTGCATATTCTTGTTCAAGTTACCAGGTGAGACCAGCAGACCTGGTGAGTTTCGGGGATTGCCATACCCGTTCCCTGTTAACACAAAACAATGAAAGAAAGCACTCAGGAGGAACTCCAGATTCAAATATGTTTCTAGAGAATACACAATGTGAGATTAAGAATAAAAGCTTAACAGCATAAAACATACAATAACAGACAGAAAGTCTACAGGATGACTGATGAAACCTCCATGTGAAGAGCAACCCAATCAGTTATTTAATATTCCTCTGTGGGAAGATTAAAAACCTCTAATGAGAAGACAGCTTCTATATATCAACTCGCTCAGAAATCAACATATGCTTTTTCTCCTACTAAAAAAAATTCGGGAAGAAAGTCAGACAGTCATTCAAGGTCTAAGAAAAGCACAGAATTGGTCCTGCACTTTAATTGACTGGCTTGGCGGAGGCCTGGCTGGCGTGACTCACTCTTTCAGTTCAATGGTTTGGGTTTTATTTTGTATGTCTGTGTGTCCTTAAATGAAGAAAGGGCATACCAGCAAGATGGTAATTTCTAGGACACGCAGGAAGAATAGCCTCTTACACAGCTTGCTGTTCAGTTCCCCTCTCCTTTGAGTGATTTCTCCCTATGGTTTTCTTCTGTCTCGTTTGCTCTCCTCGCTAAGTTCAGTGTACAACCCTGAAGGCTGGATTTCCTGCACGTGAGGAACTTCAAAAAGCAGGACTCCTTCTCAGGAGCTGAAACGAAGGGATGGTGCCTCCACTAAAACGCCGATTCACTGAGGCACGGGAATAGCCATCTAACGTGAACACTGAAAGGGTTTTCTTAGGTCTCTGATGTTTAGCCTCCTACTAACTGTAAATGGCTATCTGGAGGTCTCTATATCTCATAATTCAAAATATACTGCTCTGTGGCAGGGAGAGCTACGAGGGAGCTGATGCAACATGAGCTGAGGCAGAAAGTCACCGGCTGGCTTTCCCCACTGCCTCCGATTGGAGAAGAAGAAACACCAACCACGTGATTCAACTATTCTTGCTGGAAAACTAGATGGCTACTTTCTGAAGCTCTCTAAAGGAGAGAGTCAAACCTCGTTGTTATTGCCATCATTCCCGTAAAACCCAAGTATCTGTTACTCCAGGATAAATGAGGCTGTGTGCTATCCAGTGGGGATGCAAAGACCAGGCCCTAGTCCTCAAAGGCCCTGAAACTGCTCTGTGATATTCTAGTACACATAATGTGCAAAACGCACAAACCAAGACAAGGCAGCCCAGGGTGAGGTGCCCACAGAGGAATCCAGATTAAGTGTTACTGAGTCCCCAGGAAGGAAGACCTTAAACCATAAACATTCATGTAAGAGGCAGGAATTGATGTGGGCCTTGGAAAAAGAGAAGAGAGAGTAAAATACGTTGGGTTTGGGATTGGGCATTGGGAAAGGGCTGAGGAGGGAATTTACAGAGCATGGCCTGGGACACTGAGGAACCCGGTTAGAAAGGAACCCACGAAAAGAGAGGAGTGTTGGAGCTTCTGGAGGGACATGGAGGTTGAGCTACGGAGGCCCAGAACTGGAGGCTAACAAGGCTTGGGTTTAAATGGTGGAAACGGAGATCTGTGAAGGCTGCTGAGCAGAAGAAATGCAGGTCTCTACGTGGACAGAATGATCTGTTTGCATTGGGATAGCCTATAATTAGGGAGGCCTGGTAGTCTGGATCAGTCTGGAAACTATTGTGATAGCCTGAGCTAGAGATGAAGAATTGGGAAGGCAAAGTACAGGTGTGTTTCAGGAGATATTTATGGGAACATCTTTTGAATTAGAATATATTTGAGGCACACTGCATAGAGCACAATTGTTCTTCATATCCATTCATTTACCTGTCTCATTTTATGCATGAATAAACAGGCTGAATATATAACAAATAACTACAAGACTAAATCTGTCATTGGATTATGCATAAAATTCTCCACATTACTGGGGGAAAAATTTCCCAAAATAAAACAAACGAAATACCCCCAAACATGTGTCGAGTACACAGTAGTTGCTTAAAAAATGTTGGTTGAATTTGAATATAAACTACTCTTCTAAAATAGACTTCAAGAAAATTGGCTAACATCTCTAAAGCCAACAAATATGTTGAAAGCCAAATTTTTCCTTTACAGTTATTTTGGACAGCTTTCCATGGCAAAAGTTATTATATGAAACAAACACATTTATTTACCTTTTATCAGCAGGAGAAATACAAAGAATATATTCATAGAAAAACACTTGAGAAAATGGAATGCTCAGAGGATTTTATTTATATTGAGTATTTGTTTTATATTTGAATCATTATTGTGAATATGTCAGGACTTCAGTTTTAATTAATAGATTCTATTGGGTAAAAAGGGAATGAGAAAACCAAGACAAAATTTGCACTATACTTTTCTGTCGGCTGACGTCCAGACTGACACACTGAATACATATGTCGCTTATTTATTAAGTCTGCGTGAGGTCTGGTTTAAATAAACAATCAAATGGAAAATTAGCTGGGTAATTTCAAAAGAAGGGGGAAAACAAAGTCAGTTAAGCAGTGCAATGAAGCTTGAGTAGATCAGAAGAAACTAAAACCCTGGCTTGGTCGATGTTGATACTGGTTTGCATGGAGGAGTTATTTTGTTAAAAGGAAGTAAAACCGCTTCGTGAAATGTGTTGTCCTGTGATATGACAAGCACTGGGCCAGTGTGCGAAAATGGAAATGCTTCACAGAGGCTCTGAGAAAAGTTTTTTTTTTAAGAAACATTTTCTACAGTAAACTCTGAGAAATTCCAACAAAGCCTACATCGTTTAACTCACATTTTAAACAATAACTTGGGTCAGCAGTAGGGAAAACAAAAAACAACTAAACATACATTTTATTTTTAATCCAATAAATGGCCTAAATATGAAAAAAAGTTGACTTGAAAAGCATTCTATTTTCTTCTTGGAATATTTCCTGTTATTTGGAAATTATGCCATTTTTAGAAGATTACTCATATTTTAAGGTGTTTACATATTGAATATAAAATATTTTGAACCATGATGACACTTCTTAAATTCATATTTTTAGAGCATAAAGTTATTTTTAAGAACAAATAAATTCTGCCTTTTACCGGCGAATTTCTGCTCTTTTTAGCATATTGTGCCAGCTAGCATTTTGGAGCCGTATAATAACCATTTCTGTTTCCAGCCACCAAGTTGTTATTCTTCTGGCATAATATAGATTCAGGAATGCAAGACTGTGGATCCTAAACCAGTGATATAGAAACCTATCATTTGAAAATCAATGATGAATACATGCATGTGGTTTGCTGCTAAGAAGAGCCTGCATTTAAACCAGCTCGGAAACCACGGCCTCCTCCTCACTCCAAACGCTGTGGCCTGCGTTGAGGCCGTTGTCCTACCATAAGATAAATTCACCAGAGAGAAAAGTCTTGTTCAAAGTCCAGGGTCAGAGAGGTGGGAAACACCACCTCGCAATAACCTTTTAATATATAGATTCAACCTTGCTTCATGCTATGTTTTAAAACGACCCTCCGCCAGAACAATTATCAATTTAGATGTGACTGTACACAGATGTCACATTCCCTGGACCACTTAAAAGCACAAAAATTATAAAGCATGAGTGAATGGATTTCCTGATTATAGATTATAAGAAAATGAAGAACAGACCAACTTCAGAGTCAGTTTGTTTTATAGTTTCATTTGATTAAAAATATTGTTTCACATAACATAAAACAATTTAAGCATTCATGATATAATTTGGATGAAGGATAAGAGACTCTACCTCAATTGGTTACAAGTTTCTAAACACTCATATTAAACTAGTGTAAATATACAGAACTTGAAATGTGGTGTTAGGAGAAAAAAAATTTTTTTCTCTCCAGTTAACTTGAAAACACTTGCTGCTTTTTTTTTATTTTTTTTTTATTGACTCCTATTTTAAGAAGCTGTAAATTCAAAGAACATATTCCTGGCTTAAGTTGTAGTGAGGAGGACATTTTGCCTTGTCTCACAGAGCTCAATTGAGCATGCAGCTCTCTTTTGAGCCCAAAGTTCTAAAATTTTCTCTTATTTGGATATTTAAACATTATGAGTCTTTTCACTATTTTTTTTTCTGGAACTTTCAGTTATAAAAGCAAGCATATAAAAAATATTAAGCACAGAACAGAAACTAGTCCTTGTGGATCAAAGCTAATTTTTTCATGGGCATAATCTTTTTTCTAGTCTCCCAAATTGTCATTTTGACTATTCCCTTTCCCTCTTCCAACTGTATATCCAATTGGATACCAAATCTTGTGAATTTTTCCTCAAAAATCCCTCTCTCCATCTCCACTGCCACCATCCTGGTTTGGCTTTCATCACGATTTGACTAAGTTTTTCAATAACCCCTCTGTGGTTCCTTGGTTTCTAGTTAAAGGGTTCTTAATGGGCCCTTAAGATGGGCTTCAGGAAGGTTGCGAGCTCCTGAAGCTGTAGGCAAGCTCATGTGCAAATGTGTGATATTAAATCTAATGTACAGTCCCAACCTACCCAGGGAAATCTTTTTAAAGTACTGCTTCCACATCGTGTTCCTTTTTCAGATCACACGTAACCCTGTTGAGTCAGTGCCCTGTGTGGCTCCCAGGACTCAGCAGAGTTTGACCCACTCTGTCTATCTCACCTGATTTCTAAAGGCCACAGCCAAACACACAGTCCTCTGAAAATGCCTGTCTTTGTTCTAACAGTTCCATAACCCATGTTTGCCCTTCTGTTTGATGCGAATTCATTTTTTAAGGAGCAGCTAATGTCCTAAATCTTTCATGATGCCCTTCAGACCATTTCAGACCACTCTGAACTCACTCTCCTCTAAAATCCTGTTGCAATTAGAGGCAGTGATACTACATAGAATGCTAGCATTTTAAGTGTTTCAAGTGATCACAAAATGGATATATGAAAGACGCTTAAAAATAAAGAATTACTCAGGAATGGCACTAAACGTTATGTTACTGAAGGAATGTGAGATGAGAATGGACGGAACACGTTATGAGTAACTTGCTAATTTCAAACATCGAGGGACCCTCCTCTTTAACGCTACTTGAGAAAATTTTCTTTAGATAATAATTACATAGCGATGACCAAGGACACCATTGAGCTGAACTACTTATCAACCATATAATATGAAAGTCAGGAAATCATGCAAGTGCCCACCCACTAAATTTGTTTATAGAGAGTTAACTGAAGCTTCTTTTTCACCTGTTGCACCTGTTAATCATTTCAAAGCACATTACCTTAGCCAACTGCAAGTTGTAGAATCAAGTAAAGCAGAAATTTTCCCTAAGGAAAAAGAAAATGCTTAGACATCAGGTCTTTTCCTCTACACTGACAAGTGTTTATTGCCATAGGTTGTCTCTATACCAAGATAAATCTCAACAGCAATTTACTCACAGAACTTTCTACCAAAAGATGGGCTGCATGAGATCCTAGGAAAAGAATGGTGAAAGACTGGTAAGTAAGAGTGAATAGGATTTTATCAGATGGTTCATATGGAGACTTCCTGCAGAGAGAGAATGCAGGAGAGATCTCAGAGTCATGACTATATTTGAGAAGAACAAACATTTCTATGAAGACGAAACACTGGATATTGGTAGAGTATGAAATTTTGAGAAGCTGGAAAAGTAGGCTTGGCTAACACAAGCCTCTCAGATCATGCTATTTTATATTGAACTTCATACTACAGAAAATGAGCAGCCAAAGTTTGTTGGTGAGTGGTGAAGTGACACTGTGAACTCTGTGTGAGGAAAATAATAGTGGCAGTGGAAATGCTAGATGAAAGGGGGTTAGGGTGCTGCTAGGGGAGCTAGTTAGCATGCACCTGCCATGGAACGTGTGAGGGGTGAGGTCTCCACGAGGCAGCAGAGATGCGAACATTTACAAGGCAGAGGAGAGTCATGAACAAAAGAAAAAAATAAAGTAGATAAATCCAAGTTCTAGTCATGAGATCTCCAACAGAGTTCCTCCAACCATACTGAACCTTAGTTTTCTCAATGCTAAGCAGTTATTTCATAAGTTGAAAAAGAGTCATAAAAGTAATCTGAATCAGAACTCCCATATACTCACCTGAGGCAGCCATCACCAACATGATGACTGCAATATTAATAATAACATACACTTTATATAGCATTATTTAGCAATAATACTAACCACATACAGCATACTCATTAAGTACCCTGAACAGTACTAGTCACCTAGTAACTGCTATCTAAGTGTTTGCTATTATGCATGGATAGAAAAGACCTTTAAGTCCTCACAATGACAACCCTATGAGGTACTGATAGTCTCCCTGGGTTACATAATGAGAAAAATGAAGAACAGAGAGGTCCAGTAGCTCGATATCAAACAGCGATCACCTGGGAGAGCCATGATTTGAACCCAGCAGTGTGTCCTGAGTCCACACTCTGAAGTACAGCACTCACTGCCCAGCTCCTTGAGAATCAAACACACTCTGAGATTTTGAAAACTGCTTTATGTTAAATCTCATTCTAACACTACAGGAATACAAAGGAAGTGTGAGACCTGAAAGAGACACAAGATTAAAGTTAGTCCTCTTGAGTCAGAGGTGTTGTGGAAGCTTGAGAAACACCTTACGTGGCTCACTTGGCCGTCCAAATAGCTGTTCTGGTTCACAAGTTGCTGACCTTATATAGGAAGGCACAGAATGATGATGTTCCGAACCATACTTCTGGTGTCTCTCTGGATAAATAAATATTTACAAACAGGAAATACTGGGTTTAGCTACATGAATGTCAGAGCAATTGTTTAACTTTCAGTGTGCTATTCAAGTAGATGATTAAATATGCTTTGAAAAATAGATTTTGGAGTATTTTAGTCAATATTCTTCTCTCCTGTAATGGAGGGTAAAGATGTTTACCTGCCTATTGTCAATTTAAAGACCATCTTTCAACAGAACCATTTAACAAAATAGTAAAATGCCCAGTATTTTATAGTATCTGTTATTAATTGTTATCTGGAAAATAATTTCTAATATATAGATGTATAAAATTTACTTTGTTTAGTAATTTGTTAATGGTATCTTAATTTTGGGAATTTGAAGCCAACTGCCACAGGAAAACATGAAGTTGAACATATAGCTGAATCTCTGATAGACTGGTTTTCTGCTTTTACTTCAGCAAAATATTTTACTGACCTAGGTTTCTTTTTTTCTTTCATTAGAACCATTTTGAAAACATTTACAGCATACTTGTCTTGTTAAACTAGAGATGTCACATATATAATAATGCCCACTACCATCAATTAATTTTATATCTGACATTTTAAGGGTTTTACAATAAATTAGTTTTCAATATCAGGACATTGTTTTGTGTCTCAAATAAGCTTATGTCTTTTTGCAGAAAATTCTTTAAAAATATATACAGCAGACTTGTTCATACAACCTACTACTCTACTGGAAGTGACACTCTTAAAATAGTTTTAGTGGAAAAATATTATGACCTTCTCGACTTCAGCCCTATATGCACTTTGACCCGAATGCCTGGAACCTTGTTAAAAGTGCTAGGAATTATAAGTTATCCAGCTGTTGTGAATCACAGGTTTATTTTTTGTAGTTTTTTTTGGGGGGGGGGTGGGAGCGTGGGGGGAAAGGAGATCTTTTTCATGGGATAGCTCTAAGGGAAAAGGCAACCACACAACCTTTGGAGGTCAGAAGTCTGGGAATGATGAAAATTTCTATATGCCTACTGTAGAATGGGGACAAATCAGACTTCTCATTCTTATCCTGGTAAAGACTCCTGATTATGATTATGATGACGATCCTTAAACATAAAACTGTCTTCACTTTATCCGGGGGTTTCTTAGGGAAAGAATACAATAATGCATAATGTCAGACTAAGAAGAAACTCCTGTGAAACCTCAGTGACTTTTGTAGTGTATTCACAGAAAAAATACCCCAAGAATACACCAAAGCCAAGGCTATTTTTGGCTGCACCAGTTAGAGGGCAGCAGACATTCTAAAAAGAGACCTGTCCCTTTTGCTTGCCCATGCCACCCCGATGCTGAACCAGACCTTCACGGATTTCATATCTGCCCCACTTGTCCTTGATGTTTCTTGGATGTATTTTGTTTAGTATCTTTTGTGAAAGCCAGTCTATCTGCTAGCTAGATACTGAACTTTAAACATTTAGCACATACAGCAAGCTCTGGATTGTGAGATAGAAGTTTTCTCTAATGAGCAAGAGTCCGTGTCATAAAGTAGGCTTGTGTTGGCAAGGCAGGCGCTCATTTGTCCTCACAGTCATGGGGGTCGGGCGGGATCATCCCAATTTTTGACAGATGAGGAAACTGAGGTTCAGGGAGCTTCTGTGACTTGTCAGTAAGTGGGAGAGGATTGATTTGAATCCAAAACACACTATATTATTATGGAGGCCAGATGTTTCATATTTAGAATGCATCCTTCTATTCCTCCCTCTCTCTGAATAAAGGCTCCATTTGCAAATAAGGAAGAAATTAACAACCTGATGTTTCCAGTACAGAAAGGCACTCAAAATACCATTCTGCTTTTGAGTACTGATTTATTGAAGGGATAGTTTCTAATTGCACCACAAAAATGATATTGAACCTTGCCATCTTCAAAAAATTCCACTTAACAATGAATGATAGATTTATGACTCACTTAATTGTTCATTTGTTGTGATTTGGGGGCTGTCTCTTTGCTAAAAATGAGGGGGTGTGTTCATTATTGACACAATCGCTCATTCTTCCAGTCATTTTTATAAACAAAAATATTGAGACAGTATAAATTAGAGAGAACGTGACAGAAGAGAATGAATAATTACTTGTGGTTTTAACATTTACACAACTGCTGCAAATACATCAGAAGATCATAATGTTCAAAGTGAAATGTGTTGCACTGTGCTGCACTGCACTCCCATTCTGCCTCGGATTTATTAATGTATCCTCTTTACTCCTACCCTTGAGGGCAGAGGCTGTTGCAGACATCTCTAGTGCACTGCACATGGAATAAGTATTACCGGAACTGCATTAAACTAAGCTTTAGTTTTTGCTTAGGAAATAAAAAATATAAATAATTATAACACTAACAGTCGCTAACATTTATTAATAAGCACTTACTCTGGCACTAACTGTGTTAGGTGCCTTGCATTGGTTATTTCATTTAATTTTCACAACAATCCTGCAAAATGGAAATTCGCAGACTTTCCAAGGGCAATAATGTCATCCCTAAAATAACCTGTATATCCTATATTTTCCTTGGTTATTTTATTATTCTGACTATCTGCCTCAGGAATATTTTCCCCAATTACTGCTTGAGCAAAAATTGTACTCTAAGATTTTATAGTTTTCTTTGAGTTGCTTAATATTAAACTAAAGGTTCCTTTTTCATGATTGTTATATTAATTAATGTTATCTGAATATGTAAACTGACCATAGATTTGGATTCACTATTACTACTATCATAACCTATATTACTATAGCAGGGTTCCCCCCACACTATAAATACAACATAATCAGTTCTTTACCATAACTAGAGGTGGTAAGTGGAGTCTAAGGTCAAGAAATTGTCATAGCAGGGTGGAGTGTTTAGTAAAACAGTAAGCAAATAAATATTAAGTTCAGTTAAAACAACTGAAATGGCGTAATAATAAATAAACCCAGTGAATACTTTGGACACATCTGTTGTTTAAAAATTGAAATTGTTTATCCAAAGTTTTGGTACAATAATTTCCTTTAGTTTAAGACAAACTAAAGGAATATATTTGATTTGATCTTTCAAATATGAGACTGTATCATGACCGTAACTCTTTGAATTGAAATTCAAATGAAACATACTATGTAAGTCTAACTGTAAAATTTAAGTGACTGGCAGAGGTTTGTCTAAAAACAGCAAAATATACTCTTGGGCGACAGCCTTGAAGTCCCCAAAAGTCCCTGGTAGGTAAAAAATTGATTTCCAAAAGGGTTTTTTTTTTAACCACATCCCTCCTTCAGTATCTGCTGCCGGCTGATGCACAATTTCATATCACTGGTGATTGTGAAAAGAGCATCTCTTTCCGTATGACCTCCAAATAAAATCTTATGGTGATGACAAAAACAGGGAAGAGAGAAAACAATAGTGTAGCAAAAAGAAAGAAAATTTGCCAAGAGAAAAAAAAGTTGAGTAAATCTCGTATTTTAGGAGGAAATATTAACTGCTTGAATTAATGTTAAAAATGACCCAAGTTTTATTATCAGTTACATTCCTAGGTTAAATCAATGAGAATGGAGTGAAGAGACCGATTTTCACATTGCTTTCCTGAATGTAACAGGAGGATAGGGGATAAAAACAAGACAGTTTGTGAGGTCAGAAATCACACTATACAAAGGGCTCTAAAATCTGCTAAAACACTCTCTAGGAAGTTATAATTTGAAGATTTGTTTTCCCCTCCAGAGATGAAACTTCTTAAGAATTAAATCAAGCCAAAGAGGTTGAAAGCAGATTCTACGATATCCTGACTTAGCCTGTAACAGTCTTCATTTGTCTTCTCTTTGACTTGCCTCTCTCAGTTCAGTATCAACCCCTAGAGAGCGGTGTCAAGGTACTGCTTTTTTAGTCATTTTTCGGGTCTTGTATATGGAAAGTGGACACTGATTTTCTTGGCAGTGGCCGTGTATCACATGCTGTAGATCATCCAACCAGAGGAGTAGGTATTTTTTTAAAAAATAAATCTAGATAACCTTGGTTTGGGTTAAAAATATCACTGTTATTTAATTTCATAGATATTAATAAAGCAATGCTGTTGGATCTTTATTTATGTTTTGGGTGAACTCCCAAGGTAAAGCTGTAAATAAATTCAGAATTTTTATTTAGGTCAATTCAACTTAGCAGAATAAAACTTGCAAAACAAGAATCCAACTATGAATTTAGGTATCTTTCACATGCTACTTAATAATATTTTAAAAGGTAATATAAAATTATATTTCCATACTAACAAAAGTACTTTTCTTATTCGAGAGCAACTTATTCGAGGGATAAATGATATCCCTCCCTCTCCCTTTCTTGAGAACTGCAATCTGAACTTGTGTTTTGTTAGACAACAAAAATGTAAACTTGTTAAAGCAAATCCTTTTAGACTAAATTTTTAACCATTTCGCTCATATTTTAAGTCACTGGGTAAGAATTTCAGAGAAGTCTTTTTTGGCTGATAAGAAAGTCAGCTGAGGAATTTTTGATAAGTAGTCTCAAAAATAAAAACTTGGAAAGCACTGATACTGGTACAGAATAATTAAACATTGTTGACCCTTTTCTCTCCTCACTTAGGCCTATTTTATAATATGATAAAATTTTCTTTTCAATGCTAAATGAATTTTGAGAGAAGTCATGTAAGTACAGTTTTATGATTATATGATCATAACACATTTTGCATAAGAGGACACTAAATATATTTGTGTCTTATCCCCAGTGTGAGTATCCAGTGTAAGGGTTCTAAGCCTAAGGTCTTGCTAGAAGGAGTTTTTCAGAGTCTGGAAGCCAGGTCTCCCTTTCCCTGCTCAGTGGTTTATCCACAGCAGTACACTGCTACCGCGTCTCCATGTATTTAGCTGATATAAATTAAGCATTCTAGAAGTGACAATGCTTGACAACCAAATGCATAAAATAGTAAACAATTGACAATCAAAATAAGGAAACAGCTGTTAGTTTCTTTTTATATAAAATTATATCTAATTTACAATAAATGCCAATTAAAATTATTAACCAATATACATAAATCTCCTTTGCCTTATTGTCAAATAGCTATGTAGACTGTAAAATTCTCTTAAATTTTCAGAGATTCCTAAAGCTCCTCTCTCTCTCTCTCTCATCTCAATCATGAATCAGTAAATCCTTGAGCATACTGGTGCTTTCTACTCAAGGAAAACTATGCTATCAAACT